CATGTGTAGGTCCTTTTATGTTCCTTTTCTAAAGGCTCACTTATTGATTGCTTCGTGTTTATTTGAGCACTTTGTTGGGAGTTCCACTCTCACTCTCAATTTTTCAAATTAAAGCTTTTAGTCCAAATGTGTTACATTTGTTTAGCTTCTACTTCAGCCACTACCATGTGACACCCTCTCAACTCCACTTTAGGGCTTAGGGATTTGTGTCTCACATACCATTTAGAAATGTTATAGTACAGTAGCACTTGACAGGCCTGTGGCCCTCACCATAGTGTTGCTCAGCTAGGGGCCATAGCCATGGCACTACCAAATGAAGGCTATGGCTAGGCTATGCTAAATCACTTGAGTCGAGCAAGAAATGGCAATGGGAGGTGAGTATCAAGATGGAACCTAACATCTAATAGATCCAACACAATATCAAGCAATTTGTAAACAACTAAATTTTTCATTTTACTTTAGTCACTTAACCATGCCTTTGACCTTTTGGAAGAGTCTCACCCACAACTTCCATAGGTCCTTATCTGCCTTGAGGTACTTACTTACCCCCAAATGTGATCTCAAGATTTAAACTTAATCCAAATGTTCTATGTATCAAAAGTACCACTAACATCTTAGTCTATTACATTAAACTTATATCTATTCGCATTTGTCTCATTGGTAGTTCAATATCACCCATAACACAATCCCATTTTTTCAAGATTGGGCCCTCTATTCATGAGTAGTTATCCTATGACCACACTTTAGCATCCTTAACACATGAGGAACACTATCCCTTGATAGCTTCCTAACACCACCACCAGTTTAGGGTTTGAAGGCCAATCCCACTAACCTCTAAGACTTCCTTACCACATAACTATACCCTTAGTCACCAAGCAAAAAGACCACTCCACTTTGTTTCCATGATCTAAGACTTTAGGACAACATTTCAAAACACTGTGGCCAAATGGAAGCATTGTGGGTACTCCTCTCACCTTTCATCACTAAAATGCCCTAGTTATATGGCTAAAATGAGGTTTTGATAAGCCATGCAAAGTATCCAAGTAGGTAGTGCCACCCACACTTGGATTAAGAGTATCAACTATCCAATCTCCCAAGGGAGCTAAAGTTACCTTTAGGACAATTCACCAAGTTACTCCATCCATATTCACTATAGCTTTGGATTCCTCAATAGTTATATCATCTCCCCCCACATGTGTGTAGCCTTCTTCGGTTACACTAGCCTTTTTTGGCTAAATTAGTTACACTAAAGTCCTCCCAGTATTATCCCATAGGGACTCACTAAACCCCCTACGGTTTAGGAGACAACCTCTTTGGGCTTTCACCCTCAAACTCAGATTTGGATGCAAATTCAAACCCGGTCTCAAACTTGATTTTAATTTGGGTCTCGGTCTTGAACTCCATCTTGGACTCCTTCTTTGACTCCATCTTGGACTACATATCAAATTCCATCCCAAACTTCATCTCACATTCCTCAGACTCTATTTCAGACTCTAGTGTGTGTAGCCTTCTTTAGTCACACTGGCCTTTTTTGGTTAAACTAAGTCCTCCCAATACTATCCAAGACTCGTATTAAGCCCAGTCTTGACACTTCCACATGCCACAACACTTGCCATAAGTTGGTAATTTTTTTGTCCCCTTTTCGAGACTCACTCCCTAATTGCTTCATGATCGTTCCTTGAGCACTTCTTTGGGATGGTAAGTGTTAGTAATTTTTTTGTCCCCTTTTCAAGACTCACTCTCTAATTGCTTAGAAATAAACACTTTATTGGGATGGTAAATGTTGGTAATTTTTTGTCCCCTTTTCGAGACTCACTCCCCAATTTGCTTCATATTTATTCCTTGAGCACTTCTTTGGGAGTTCCACTCTTGCTTTCAATTTTCTGAGTTAGAACTTTTAATCCAAACGTGTTATGCTTGTTGGGCTTTTACTTCGGCCACTACCATATGGCACACTTTGGGCTCCACTTTGAGACTTAGGAATTTGTGTAATGTCCTAAATTTAGACTTTTTAGGAGGTCATCTAATCTAATATTAAGGACATTTAACTTTAAGTATTCCAAAACCCTTAACCGATTAGAAAATAGGGTGCACTCTTGTTCATAAGCCCTTTCCTTCTATATTTAAACTCTATGGATCGTCTTTCAAGTCATTCTCTTTAGTTATTTACAATTCACCATGTTTCTCTACAAGTTCACGCCCTCGTGAATGGAAGCTGAAAACCACAACTTTCCCGAAAGCCCCACTCTCTTGACACCCTACCCCTAGGAAACTAAACATGCCAGATGTCAATTAACATGTGGTATGATTCCCTTAGCCAACCAATAGAGTCGGATTTAAGACCTTTTTAATACCAAATGTAAGCTCTTGAATTTAGACTTCCGGAAAGTTACTCAACCCAGTATTATTCAAACCCAAAAATACTTAACCCCAAATATCCCAAGAATTGGAAAAGGGGGTGCACTTTTATTTATGGGCCCTTTTTCTTTATATTTAAACCCCATGGATTGTTATCTTCAGTTTCTTACAATTTTTTTCTCACACAATTTATGTAGTAGGTACTTCACAATAAAACTCTCTTTAGTGGTTAAGTTATAAATTTTCCTTTTCTAATTTGCCAATTTACTTTGTCTATCCAACTATTACCTTAGCCTCAATTAAGTTCCCTTGCCAAGGTTCCCGCCTATTTTACCAACTCTTACTTGGTCTTATTCAAATTCAACTTCTCACTACACAAGCAACAAAGTGTTATCTATTTATCTATAGATTCCCAAACTCTCTCTTAATCCCCTTCCTTAGGTTAAGCTAAATTTAAAGTTAGACTACACTCCCCATAGACTCAAGAAGCCAAACATACCAAACTTCCAAGTTTCTAACATCCCTTGGTAAAACAAAATTTAATCACAAAACCTTTTAAATCCTAAACTTTTGGTGCATCTCTTTTACAGGGAAATGTCTTAATAACCCAGTATGGATACCCCTACTCTCCCACCTCCGTCTCAAAGGGAAAGCCCAAGCCCTTAAGAAGGAGCAAAGACTAGTACTCAAGTGGGGTAACATCTTATCTGAGCTAAAAACATTGCAATCAATTTTCCTTCTGGGAGTGAGAGTTGTTTTTGAGCTTTCTCTTGAATGGCTTCTTTAGCACCCCTCGAGTCCATGCTCACTCCCACCAAAGCCACCAACCCCCCAATCTTAACCTCAACTCAATTTAGAAACACAATTGGAGAGTTCCTTCAAAATTAAGTCTATCTCTACTATCCTTTTAGAACCATCCCCATCCCCCCCCCCCGAATCTTGGACTCAACCTCGGACTTAGTTTCAAACTTCATCTTATATGATGAACTCTTTATCATTTTGGTCATGATTTCGAAAATTCTTTACCCTATGATGTTTGGAGGTTTTATGATGCACTGCAAATCCCATTATATCAACTACCATCAACATGTTAGTTCGATTTGGAGGATTAAAGGGAGAGTTAGCCAGATTGCACAGCCAAGATTATAACCCTAATAGCAAAGTATATTGTATTGTGGTAATGCTCTTTTTTGGTTTTTGATATCTAAGTGTAGAAATATTTCACAGAAGTATTCAAACTTCCCCTATAGCTCTGGCAAATTTCGCAGCTCTAGAAGAGAAGAACACATTTGAACTTTTCAAGAATTACTATGATGAAGCATTACTCTAATAGGATCATTTGGTATGTGTATGAAGAGGTTTAATCCTTTCTTTTTCTTCGTGTGATGAATGAGTATTCTATGGCTTGTAGCATGGAAACAACATAGAGATCTGTCCATCTACCTCAATGTTGTAGATTGCACAACTTTGCCTTATGGACTGATTGCAATTTGTCATTAGTTAGTTCGAGCAAAAACTTTATATATGCAAAGCTACTATAACTAAAGAGTAGTCAAGATTGAACATTAAGTGTTTTGTCTAGATACCCAGGCTTACATGTTACTTCAAAAACTTATAGAGGATGTAGAGGCAGACATAAATATTAGGAATGTGATAGATTACTAAACTTACAATTCAAAAAAGGAGATTGATTTTATCAAGTTGAAGAATCAAAGAGCAACCTGCTACATGAACTTGCTAATTCATATATATTACAGCCATAAGATAACTTTTGTCTCTTATCACTAAACAAACAAGACATACTATTCATTCAGCAAGAAGAATTGATAATTTTAAGCATTAAAGCATACCACATTACTTGTCTCCAATGCAATTAAAATCAAGGGGAAGGGTTTGATGATGTTGTTAAGAAGTCCATCTCAAGAGATATTGGTTATGCTCATGTGGTGTCTATATTTGTCTCCAAAGCAACTTGCTGCATGAGGAGGAAACAATGGCCTTAGATGAGCATAAAGCACATGCTTAGATGCCATGCTTGAAAGATGACATCCCTCTATTTGGGATGAGACACTGTTTATGGAGCTAACACTCTATTACATCACCTGCTTGTCAAATGCCAAAAGGAGTGCTTCTGCTAGAACGTTGGGTTGGGACTATGTGTGAATTAGTTGTTTATACAGAAGAATAAACTAAAATATACTATGAAGTGTTTAGGAAATCTTATAACTTATAAATACAAACAAATAATACCTGCTAGATAATAAAATATCATAGAATATCTAAGTATATTCTACAACCCCAGCCCCCTATAGGTTTGTTGAAGCAAACCAAATCTATGTGTTTTAAAACCAAAACTGGTATCAATTTTAGATATTTGTACTTTTTATATAAGTTTTGTTCAAAAATAAATATATATATAGAAGTACTTTGAACCAAAAATGGCTGTTAAAAATATGCTTTCCTTGATAAGTTTGGATATCTTTTTCTAGCACTAGAAGCTTTACTTAGTTATGATATACTGCTTATCAACACTTCTGGGGTAAAGCATTACCTCCAACAAAGCAAGCCACTACTCTTGCCACATATCACTCACTTGGGAATGGGTTTTGATCTTCTTACACACCAGACCCAATAAACTCATGGCCTCTCAATTCATTGAATATTCGATTGAAAAGAAATATCACCAATCACTCCAAAGGAAACTGAGGTTAAAGTCTCATTTGCACTTAAATAGTGCATTGGATTGGCCTTTGGATTTTCATTTGTGTCACGAGTCAAACTTCTAAACTCCTCCCTTCTCAAGAGCACCCTTCTAGCATCACGTAAGAGTCATTCTTTGACAAGGTAATGCAAGGCACAGCTTCTTCCGGATTGTTCTCGGTCGTATCATTGGTCATGAGAATCCCACTTGATGGCTGGGCTAGTTGTGGTGGAAAACTAGCAGTTTCCTGTAAGAACAAAATGAGCGTCAGTATCGGTAAGGTCTAGATTCAGATCATCACACATACTCTTCCAAGTGGATTGCGAGACCATTTCCAAACCTTGTGAACTGCACTAGAAGCGAGCGCTAATAAGCCCAGATCATTGTTTGTGAAGGTAAGTCTTGATATCTGTTGCAGAAAGTGTAAAGACTCAAGCTTACGAATAGTCAAGTACCTTGCTTGCTGGTAGAGTATCTGGCAGCTTTAATGCACGACAATGAGAGGGTTCCACAATTTCAGTTAGCTTCCACAGTTTGTTTGAGTCGTCTGTAGTTCGGGGTTTTGTCTCCGGGCGTCCATTTTCAATGCCGTTCTGCAGTTATATTTGTCATAAGGCATTTCAAAAGAAATTTCCGTCCATACCCCTCCAGTAAAGGGTACCGGTTGCGAAACTGGTCTGTCAATGGCCACAACCCCGCTGCCTGATGCACTTGCAACGTTCCCCTGAAGAAACATGCAAATTTACAAATTCCTTCATGGATAGACCGTCATACCTTTGTTTCCGGAGGTACTTTGTTACCCTCAAAAGACCGTACAAGCCGCAAGCCATCTGCATTAGCCAAAATCTTGAAACCATTGTCGATTGTTGTTACTGCGAGTAAAGAGCCTTCTTTGTTGAAACGAATTCGCGGGCAAGCCTACAGAGAACGTTATAGCAACGAATCTTCATCGAAACGAAAAAGTGCTTACAGGCAATCCGCCGTCGGCATCGATGGAGGTCAATAAGTTTATGTTGTCCATGTCCCAGAACTTGACCGAGAACTCGTCCCCAACCGCTAGAAAGCAGTTCCTAGTGTCGAACTGGACAACGTTTGGCATTCTCTTACGGAATCCAATGTACGTGCGTTTGATAGCCCCTTCACTTTCATTCCACTCGACAAGGAATGAGTCACCCTCCTTGCTAGTTCCGCACGAAAAGAGCCTACAAAACACACAGCCTCGTTTAGCGCGTGTCTTACGATAGAAACGAGACAAACGAGACAAACCTTGTGCCATTGTAGGCCATTGTTGTGCACCAACTTCCAGGCGCATCCAAGTCACCCCGTGAACCAAAGCAATCGTACAGCCACGCCTTGATTTTGCCGTCCATTGCTGCAGAAAATATGAACTGCCAAGAACAACAGTGTTGAAATCAGAGTACACGCTCAACTCACAATCTTACCTGTATACTTTCCTTGTGATGCGGACAAACAGAGTACACTGGCGCTTCGTGACCCTCAAAAGTGTATTTGTTGCGACCACTCACCGCATCCCACACCTGGTTTTTTCATCGCCCTTTCAGTCCATACTTTTCTCAACGATTATGCAGACCTTGATCGTTTTGTCATCGCCACAAGAAATAATGCACAGTTGCTTGTTTGGATGGGCAAATGCAAGATCGTTCACACTCCCCACATGCGCATCAATCTGTTGGAAGAGAAACATTCAGGTGTTTTCGTCTTCACAAGGTATAAACAATGCGTACATACCTCCACTTGCTGCCGTAGCTCGACGCCTCCAAAATACTGATAAACCTGAACAATGTGCTTATTGAAAGCCACCCCTGCACGCATGCAAAACGAGTTAGCTCAACAGCATATGACAATCGCGTGCACCTATAAAATTTCCATCTGGACTCCAAACAACCCTCGTAACAGCAACTGCTGGGTCTTCAACGAGAGCAGTCTGTAAAGCACGTTAGAACGCTAGAATTAGACATAAAAAGGACATGAGCAGACCTGGAGAGGCATAGAACACACTGAAACCTCCCAGACTTTGAACGTTTTCAGCGCGAGGCGTTCCCGCGTGGCCACATCCCAAATAGCAATTTCACCCACAATTGTACCAACTGCCAGAAAAAAGAAAGATCAGAGCGTTTCTACCACGGCGGGCACTGTACCTAAAAGAATGACTTGCTGCAAAGGGTGGAAGTCCATTGTCGCAACACAGGAACCCTCGTTGATGGTCCTCGCAACAGTCTTTGGAATATCATCTATCGTGTATGACGCTTGCTGAATGTTTGGTCCCGGAAAGTTCACCTGCATTTGCAAGTCACTTACAAAGTTCAAACTATCGCTTTCATCTCGACCTCTTCCACAACAGGTCGGTTTCGCTTCATTAGGTGCTCGGAATCAGCCGTCTGGAAATCAACCGTAGTGGCTGGCGGAAGCGTCCTGGGTCGCTCTAGCATTGCAGCTGAAAGAAACTCAGCTGAAAACTTGAAAGCGGCAATAGAACAAAAACCAGACCTGGGTTCAGAGCTCCGGCGAGAGCAGCAGGCTCTCCAACAACACCTGGATGTGACGGAGGATTTGGATTGGCCATCCCGCCTGCAAGTGCACTAGCTGTAGGGGCCGCTGGTTGGAAAGGCTGTACACGTTTCAAAACCAAAGCTGTTAGACAGTAAAAGTAAAGCCTGCAAGTTGCACGTACGATGTGCGCACCCAAGGGGGGGAACCCGCCACCTTTCGGAAGACTCCCGACCAAGGTACTGTTTGCTGGTGGTGGCGCGCGGGCTCCATTCGGCGCGCCACAGGTATGATCTACAAACAGAGTTTTGATATCTGGGTTGGGCCTAGGATTCTTGCAAAGCTGATGTTGCCAATTGAGGCTGGGAAAAAAGAAAAAAACGAAATGTATTTCTTCTATCAGCACAGAAGTAGCTGGAAAAGCAGGGACGCACCTTTGATTAATCAGCGTTCGGAGCCGTGACGCTTTGAGCCCCGGAAATGCAAGCTTCTCCCAGAACAAAGGATTGGCCTCAATCAGTTTCTTAAGCTCCAATAGCATTATGTTCCGGGCAGATTTCGTGTCCGTATACTTGGACAGCTGTTCGTTTTCTCTGCAACCAAGTCCATAGCGTGTCAGGACAGCCTACAAAAGGGCCTTGTTACACTTCAAACCTGAAGTTTCCCAGCGTAAGAAGCTGTGTAAGCTCCTTGTACAGATCTTCGTTGAAGGACGCAAACACTTTGAGGTCCTTGACTAGTATCTCCACTGCCCTCGCTCTATCTTGCCTGCAAACAACACAGACCGGCTCGCCACAAGAGATAAGAGAAAAGCAAAAAAACATAGAGAGAGAGAGAGAGAGAGAGAGAGAGAGAGAGAGAGAGAACTAGTCACTCACCTGTCCAAGGCCTCCAGGTACTTTTGCTTTCTTATCTCCAAAAAAATCTTCATGGAGTAGCGATTGTCATCCACCTTGGTGAAGCCAGACAAGTACCTCTCCACCTCGTCCCACTCCCCATTCTGGACCTGATCTTCAAGGTACTTCATGTTGAAGAAGAAGCCAGATTCTTGCTCCAGCCTGCCAAAATCACATAACACTTACATCCACCAACAAGAACAAACCACAAATCTCCTCACTTGTGCACCGTCTCCTTGAATTTCTCCTCATCCAGGAACTGCAAGATGAGGAACACGAGCTCCCGGCTGAGTGACGACATATCTCCTTGGACTGCTTCCCCTGCCGCCGCTGCCGCTGCGCTGTGCCCCCCTCCCCCCCTCTCTGTCTCCGTCTCTCTCTCTCTCTCTCTCTCTCTGTCTCTATATGTGTGTAGGTCCCTACAATCAAGTGATCACCTTTTTAACCAGTTAGCTTAGGGTGTAAGGGATCTCTCTCTTTCTCTGTTCATTCATTCCATATCAGTCTTCCAGCTGCATATACGCACGTTATTGGGAATGCATACCGCAACAGGACCGACTTTCCTCTAGACAGACCAAAGTAGTCGTGCTCTCAAAAGTCCGTTCCCTCGATGTATACGGTCTGAAAAAGATGATTTCTTCCTTCTTCTGTGCAAATCGTGTTTTTAACAAACCTTGTACGTGGGGGAGTTTGCGTCCGGGAAGCGCTTCGCCTCCACAACCTGGTCTTGTTCGTGCCCTTCAAAATTGATAATCGTCACCTGCGTGCATGGGGAGTCGTAAGAAAGAACAGAAATAGTGAAGCGATGAACCTTGAGCGGCTGGAAGACCACCATCGTCCTCGTGAACATCCCGTCTGGGCTTTGCATTGACAATCTCATACGCACGGCAGAAGTTGTTGATTGCGTTCAGCGGAACGCCCCTTCGACGCAGCCCAGGAAGCAAAGGATCATCCCACCCATTTCTCAAGCTTTGGCCAATCAATGCCAGTCACAACCATAAAGTACTAGCCTCTGCAAGCCCGTTTTTAGTTCATCACTACACTGCTTCACCCATGCTTTATAATGCTTACGATAGTCAATTACCTAAGTAGAGTACAATCTAATCTCTTTCTCACCACCAGGGCACTTCAAAAAAAATTCGGCACCAACAGCAAACCTAAAAACCTAACCTTATTGGTCTTTGAAAGTTTTTACAAGAGGAAGTAAAGTCACAGTGCATCGCCATCATCAGAAGGAGAGTGGAGGAACTCCTCTATCTCGGAGGCGGGCATGCCCGATCTCTTCAACCATTCTATTCCCTGCGCCCAAGAACAATCAATACAAGAGAGAAAAGAAGAGATATCGACTAGTTATACTCACTTGGCTGAGATTGGCGTGGCATCCATAGCCCGTGCAAAACATTTTGCCAATCAATTGTTGCATCTGGCGATCGCCAGCCATGGCAAGTTCCAGCGCCTCTAGAAACCATTGCCTGGTGAGCTGCGCCACAATCTCGCGCAACGGACCCTTCTCCAGCGTCTCCACCATCCGCCCTATAATCCCAAAATCTCTGGCATCGCTGCTCTGTTACCCTAAATTGCGCCTCCTCGACAAGGAAGATCCCCCCTCTCGGGAGAAAACAATGTCGTCCATCTTATTCGCGACCTTATTTCTTGCAAGTTTTTAATTCAAGTAACCTCCCGTATCAGAGATAAGCATGAGTTGGTGTGATCAAAAGCTTTCAGCCCTGACAAAGCTCAACTTCTGAAGCCTGTTGCCTCTGTTATGTCGAAAAAATTCTAGCCCTTTCCGGAGTGTTATATTTTACTATTAGTACTTCAGGCTTTGGAGAAGCTCGCACCATTGTTTGTATATCATTAGAACTGAGATTCCACAGGCTTATTCTCGCAAGACTTGGAAATTAAGGGAGCACTGGAAAGAAAAAAACAATTGATTTTCAGATTCCATGCAGGAGCCCATCAGTGTCATGCTTGGAAAAAACCAACGATCGCAATTGACTATTAGATTCTGCAAGGCATCCATGTGTTTACTCGCCAAAGCACCATTTAACATTGTTTTTCGACCTTTCCCACGTCAGCGTGAAAAGAAAGCCCAAGGAACTTCCATGGATCTGGAAACTATGTGAGAAGAAAATCCTAGATCAGCTTTCTTGCAAGACTGAATCGCTCCTGAGCAAAAACAAGTTAAGTTCCAGCTCTACGACGTAGCTGTACGTACCATTCACAAGGTGGTCGAGCGAACTAAGACGATTTGCATTGGTAGCACTGTGGAAAGAGGCCAAAGCTATTGATGTTATGCCGGAGCGCAACGAGGCTGGCCCATCCTCCAAAACCCACTCCCACGATCAAAACCCACAGTACTACTGCCAGATTCACGCAGTACATGCCAATCCAATTCCATGGCATCCAAGAGGGTGGCTGTTCCACGGAAATCTATAACAAATGCGATATGTTAGTGAAGAAAGAAAAGTCTAATAAGAAGTTACTTGCCATTCTATACGATGAGCTTTTGAAGAGAACCATATGAGCCGTACATGGCAAAACGTAGACACTGAAGCTCGCAAACACCGCTCCCACAACCGAATCGATGAGGCCGATAAAAGGAACCATAATGGCCACGAACCACATAACCAGAACTACAGGAATTCTGGATATCGATTTCAAGTAATAGTTGCTAGATCCATGAATGCCCAGCAGCCTCTCCCATTTCATGAAAACTGGAAGCGACAGGAAACCGAACTGCATGAACTGGATGAATGGGAACAAGTGTTAAAAGAAAAGCACTGTTTTATATGTTCTTTTACCTGGATCAAGTTACCTGGTGGACGAGCATGAGCACGATTGCCGTGACTCGAAACATAGAGTCCGGTAGAACCACGATAGAGTACGCGTGGTGCGCCATGGAGTCTCCAAATGCCCAGTACACAGCGATGGCGGACGGCAAAGTAAGCGTGAGTATGTAGGCTGAGCAGTAGAAGTAGACCGTCTTGAATTTCTCTGGCTTCTTCATCGCATCAACTATTTCACTGCGATTTGTTTCTTCCAGTGAGATTTCGAGATGAAATAAGAAAAGGCGAGCTTACGCTTACATGGTTACCGCGTGACCTCCAAAAGTATAGAGCAGGTTGGTCGCACCAACGAAGTATCCTGCCGTGTTGTTTGGAGCAGAATGCGTAGCATTGGAATTCTGTAGTGAAAGATTTTAGTTTAGAAAGAAAAACGATCGAGACGTTGATGACCTTTCCGTGGTAAATGGTAGCGATGGTTATATACCATGCCGTATAAGATGTTGCCACGATTCCTATGCACGACCAGATCCGGTAGTGCTGTGCTCTTGGGATAAAAACGATCAAAATGAAGCAAAACACAAGCAGGATTGTCCATGTTCTCTTGTCCACATAACTGTTTAGTAGGTACGATAAGCTGATATGCAAGAACTTGTGAAGACATTGTAGTATCGAATTTTGTCAAACTCATACCTTGAACAGCCGACCAAGAAGATAACGCACGTAAGAATCTGATAACCGAGGTTCACTACCAATCCGGCGAGCTTCCAATTTGAACCAAGTAACCCATCGAGCACTTCATACCACTGATCCAGAAGCACATATTGTCAACTCATACGAAAAGCTTTCATAAATCTCAAACCAGGATGCTCTGGGCTTCATAATCGACGAAAGTATTGGCCCTCATTGCTCTCTTTTCTCTGTAAATCACATACAGGCTCGATGTCATGTAGCACGACCAGCATCCCATTGCGGCGTAGAGAATTTGGTACGCAATGCCAGAGACGAAGCCCAATTGAGCAAAAGAGTATGGCAGCGTGAGGAGAACTTGCGAGACCTGGAAAGAAAGAAAGAAAGAAAGAAAGAAAGCGTCAAGAAAATGGAATTTTAAATTCAAATGACATCAACGAACCTGGAATGACGACGAATTTAGCCAAGCATCGAACACAGAGGTTCCTTCCAGAAATAAGACGTAGAACCAGGACTGTTTGCTAGATTGAGTTGAAGCCATACCGAAGCACCTAGGACGAACAAGGTGAAATAGGACTCCAGATCCAAGGATACGTGGAACAGTAGTTGTGGTGATAGAGATTGTTGTTGACTTGAACACGGGATGGAACAAAGATGATCTCGACATTTATTGCTTGTCAGAAAGCACCACAAGAGGGTGCCCGACTTTTCCTTGTCCGTACCAAAAAGTCGGCAAATACTGAACAAAATAGTAATAGTGAGAGCAAAGACTAAAAGGCCACCTGATTTGCATTTGTGCTTGTAAAACGATTTGCAACATTAGAATCTGTTAACGTATTCCACACCTGCAAGAATCGCAAGTTATAGCTGCTTGTAGAGAAAAGATGATCCAGTATTACATGTAGCTCGCCGGTAGTACCACCAATAGCCATTAAAAAGGGAGAGTCCTTACAGAACGACGCTGAGAAGATACCGCCCTGTGAAATCAGTCCAAACACTTTAGTAACTTGTTGAGCTCGGAAGGGACCATTACCACTTCGGGACTGGTTGTTGCAACGAGTGTGGGCGTATCGTTTGTCACATCCCACAATTTCACCTGCGTACTCGTCATCAGTTCCATAGTACACTAGCAAGACAAAGTGTAAGTCACAGACCGTTTTATCCAAAGACGCTGTTGCCAGTAGCTGCAAAACAACATTTGCATAAATCCCATCTGAAAAGCGTCTACAAGCTTACATTCTGAGCAGCCGAGTTGTAGGAAACTGCGCAAGTAGCTTTCTGATGTGCATGGAGTGTAAAGATGCTTGCGTTTGGACCTTCCTTGGTTGCAGTTCTTACGTCGAACCCGTACACATATCCCTCTTCTGTTCCCACCTACATCAAAAACATTGTACAAAAGAGTCAACAACCATGCAAGTGCCTAAAACCATTACGTACAGAAAACGAATGTGAAACGTGGGGATTCCAGGCAACGCACTCGACATCGTCAGAGACAGTCCACCGAAGTTCCGCCTCTGCCGGAGTTCTCATATCTGTCTAAATTAGAGTTAGTGACAGGCCACTGCGATTGAACAGGGAAAAAAGAGCATACCAAAACCACCGAGCAGTCATAAGATCCACTAAGCAAAGCCGTCGGTTCCTTTGGATTCCATGCAATAGATTGTACCTACGTACAAGACAGTTAGTCATTCTGATTTCCGTAACAAAACTTGTCCAAACCTCAGCAGTATGAGATTTAAGAGTGTGCTCGCACTTTTGTGCGACTACATCCCAAACTCTCACGGCCTTGTCAGCGCTTCCGCTTGCCAGTACGTTTCTGGAAAGCGCAGCAGTTCAATTTCTACAATCCGAGAAAAAATCTAAAGGAAACACACCTGTACTCATAGTTCCATGCCAGACCCAACACTGCAGTTTTTTGTTTCCTCTGGTAATTTTAGCACGCTAACATCCGAACAAGTTTTAGTTTGAGCACCATACCTTGGACTTTGTTTTCTTTTTCTTGCTTGGGTCGGGATTCAGTACACCCACTGGCTTAACTTCAGTTGCCTGTGCATGAGCAAATGAGGAACGGTAAAAGCCATGCTTGTTCCTTACCAGGTCGAGGTCCCATATCTCAATTTCTGGCTCTGAAGTACCAACAGCGAGAAAGTTTCCTGCAAAACTGGAACGTTAGTTGTCCCTCCGTATTTGTGCTCACCCTTGTCGCCGCCGTTTACGTTGCAATCCAGCCATGCGAGAGAAAAGGGTATAGACGAAAGAAGTACCTCGTGGTGTACGTACTTATTATCGTCATTTTCCTCATAGATGTACACCTGACAACACGAATTTCTCTAGCTTTAGAAGAATAGCGCGAAGCCAAAGGAAAAAAAAAAAAAGTACCTCGAGTATTCCAACTTCATCTTCGGTTTTGGCAGTCACAATCAGAAGATCGGTAGGCTTGATTGTTTTATCCTCTATCTCCTCCTCATCTTCATCCTGAGAGCCATGCTTTAGTTCCCCAGAGAAAAGAAAAAAATGGAGGAAAATATCATGAGAAGGCAATGACTTACATCATCGTCCACAAGGTAAGGATCCTTCTCTCCGTGTTGATAGTAAGCCGCACTGACACCACCATTCCCAAAAACTCGAATATCTGCGCAAGATTGTGTTCGAAGAAGAAAAGAAAAAAGTACAAAGAAAAAGCCAACCTTCGTTTTCGTCATCGTACGCATCCATGTTAAGCTCCGCAAGGCCGTCACTCACAGCACTTGCCGCTCCACTACTCTTGAGCGCCCTCGCGGCTGCCAATGCGGTCGAAATATCGTCTCCCTCGACACGCATTCCATCCTCGTCCTCGCTCTCCTCGTTCTCGGCGCTGGGGCAGCAAATTTCCCAGAAAATCTTTCCCCATTCGCAATGCACTCTCTTCATCCATACCTTTGCTCCGCCGGATCTTCCCCGAGGCCCTGCTGCAGCGCCTCATCGAGCTCCTCGCGAGATCTTGGCGTCTCGTCGGGCAGCGCCTTCGCCACGCCCTTGGGCACCCAGCACACTGCCGCGATCATCGAATGGGTTGAGGAATTAGGGTTCCCGGCTTTAAGGGTTTAGGGTTTTCGTAAAAAATTAAGCTTTGCCCAATCAATGCCATCCGCAATCAAAGTATTAGCTTCTGCAAGCCATCCATGCTGCGTTTGTTTACTCGCGAAAACACCATGTACCATCGTTTTTAGTTCATGCTAGCAAAAAAAAGGTAGAATCTCTTCCTCACCACCAATGAAGTTCACGAAGGAATTTGGCACATCACAGTTGCAAAGGTCCTTTACATCCTCCTCACGTTTGCTCAGAATAAGCATCAAGACCTCTCGTGCCAACTTCTCCACCTAGCATTGGAATTCAGAGGTAGCAACTTCTCCATTTTGTAAAGAAAAAAACCTAAGCCTTATCATGGTGTCTACTTTAGACCATCAAACTCCACCTGTACAGCTCGATCGAATCCTTGAAGCTGGAGGAGAGAACTTCTCTGATAAGTCCTGCCGAGTCCCTGTCTTTGGCCATGACAATCGCGAATCCACCCCCACCAGCCCCTACGAGCTTGTAGCCGCAGCTCAGATGGCTGATCTTCTTGAAAATCGAATCGACAAGAACGTTGCTGCAAAAGGGATCGAGTTCCTGGTGGATTTGCCATGCCTCTTGCATTATCTTCCCCACGGAGTCGAGATCCTGCTGGAGAAAACCATCCCGTCCCAGTTTTGCCAGCTTCACGAGGCGTTGGATCGACGACAGCAGTAGCGAGTCTCGCTGTAAGTAACGCTTGACAACTTTCTGGAGAACCTTGTGTGCCAGTCTCACCTGGAAAAAGGAAGAAAAGAAACGAAAGCTTGATGTTTGCTTGTAACCAAAACTGAAGAACACTTACCTGTCCAGTGAAGACAAGGAGCATTCGATGCTCAAGTTCTTCCCGGAAATCCGGAGGCAAAGGTACTGTCTCGATCGAGAATGTGAGTGGTTTCGATGGCAGGCTCGTCGTGAGCTTTAGACCAGGATAGATCCCTCCAACTTGGTCCTGCCAGCCTCCCCCAGTTCCCATAAGTTGCTCCAGCACCAACACCAGCGCTGCGACGCTGTCTTTGCTCGAGTTACCGCCACTCACTTCGAGTAAGCCTCTGATCACCGCAGCTGCTAGAATGCTCGAGGTACCTAGGCCACTGCCCCGGGGAACAGACGCTCGAGTGTTGATCTCCAGACCCCAAGGAGAACTTGTCACGATGTTTTCCGGACTTGTCCAGCCTGTTACCACCAGCGCGGCCTTGACGAGGCGAAAGGGATCGTTCTCATCGAAAGGAGCTCTTAAACTCGTTGGCTCTTCTATCCAGCAGTTGTTACCAGTGTCATCTCGGAGGCACACGCCAGGAATCTTCTTGAGCAGCACTTCTGCTCCAACAGGCGCTGCTCCGTTCAAGTAGACTGCCATGTTTAGCACGCAGCCTTTGCGTTCTATGCTCCAGGGAGGAGTGTCACTCCATCCACCAACGATGTCCAGCCGAACGGGAAGGTTTACAATCGAAGATCTAGATGGTTGAAGACGAAGTAGTTTACTTCCCACACCATCTGTAAAGGACATGTTGAAACAAAAGACCACAGAACGTCAAGGTTATTACCTTGGCAAACTGCTGCTGAAGTTTCTGCTGCGACTGCTTCAAAAGCTTGAACTTCGTGAACGCGTGCTGCATTTTTGTCTCCAAAGCCTCTGCTCAAGTCAGATCGCACTTGAGATCTTCTGCTTGCCGGTACTGAAGCTTCCGCAGGAACCCGAGAAAGAAGCCTTTGAAAAGTTTCGGCTCCCACGGTGGTACCAAACTGCATTTCTCTCGCAAGCAAGCTGAAGTTCCTGTCCATCAAGCCATCTTCAAGGCTTCCTGTCGCAAACTCTGCAGCAAGTTCCGCGTGGAGGTCGCTCATGCCCAAGTGCATTGCCTCAAAATCAGTGAACTCTTGCAGCTCTGCAAAACTGAGACGTTTTGCAGCTAACCAGGCCTTAGAAATACTTGTATCCCTGCAGCTTCCCATCAGCCACATTGCAAACGTAAAGTTTTCGGTCCGTTCTCCTGCCGACTGAACCGAAAATAACTTTGCGTGCCACAAGTCCTGCTGTGTACTGGCATCTGTCCATACATCATTCTTCTCGATCTGCAATCGTCCAAGCACTTGGTCCCATGTTCTCCCACAAAAAGTTCCACCCTGAGTAGCCGAAAGTTTTGGATTGTCCCCAAGGCCGCAGCAAAGCATGACACGGCCAAGACTATCCTTCAGTGGCACCTCCCAGAGGCAGTGTCCGTCCGGCAAGCTTAGCTCCAAAAAATCTTCGGTGTGATGCACACCCGAGACCACGCAGCTGGAACCAACTTTTACTTTGCTCGATAAACTGCTGTTGAACACCAGACTGCTGTCACCCACGGCCGCACCACCATCAACCCGGGAGGCCAGAATAACCGAGGAAGCAGCAAGACGAGTGGCAGAGTCCTGGTTGGTGGACACAAGAGTGAATTGCCTGCGGTGGATCGGGCCCGAGTCATCACTTGCCAGATGCTGCAGGATTTCAGAGGACGTTCCGAAATGGAGGAACTTGAGGTCGTCTGCATCATCAGCACGCACAGTAAATCCATGCTGGTGGTCTCAAAACAGGAAGGCTCGTCACCCACACGCGCAGTAATGATACAAGCGTTGTGCTCCCAGCTCCTGGACCAGAAGCTTTCCCAGTGGACGGTTTCGTAACCAGCTATGACGCGCAGACACCCACGCTCCAGCAATCTCTTCATACAAACTCATCTACAAGACAAAGTCCATCGGCACAAAAAAACCAAAAAGGGAACAATCGAGAGTTACCTCTTGTGCGTTATCTAGCAGCATTCGTAATGGATCCAACTCCGCAAGTGACATCCGAATTAAATCGTCCCAAGCGTCACCGACGACGACAAAGATGCCAGTGTCGAGGAGCGCGGTGGAGTCCGAAGAAACAGCGCCTCTAGCGTACATCTCGTCTCTACTCGGTTTTTGGAGAAGATCTTCCACCGCAAAACAAGTGCTAGTCCCATCATCTTTTTTCTGTGAAAGGATGACCCCGTGATTCACAGCCACCGCAAGCGAGGTAGGCACGGTCACGACAAGAGCACCATCGCGCGGGGTTGTCATTTTGGAAGCATCGAAACAAGGAAGAACATCACCAGTCATGATAAGCAATCCACCTACATGAAGAACAAACGATGGAACTTAGAAACACCACGAGAAGAGCAAAGTTACCTCGATTTGGCAACTGCGCAGCAGCGAGCGACGAGACGGCCAGGATGTGATCGAAGAGCAGTGGCACTGGCTCATCAGCACAGGCATCTTGAGCGAGAATTGGCAATGGCAGGAAAGCTTTCCCGATCGCATTCGCCCACGGCACACGCTTCGAATCACCGCCGGCATGAACCAACAGCACACGCTTCCCAGAAAAACCATCGCCCTGGAGGTAGAAGAACCAAACAAGATGCCAAAATTTCCTCCTACCAATAATTTCCAATCCAAACCTTCGATCGCAGTGCTGCATCGAGCTCCCTGATCGCGCCGAGCGTGGCGCCGCCGGATCCAATGCGCCGCCCCAGCGGATCCGGCACGGCGAGAACGAGCGTGTGCTTGGCAATTCTTCCCCGATCCACTGCGCGCTGCAAATGCAGCTGGTAGAGGCGTGCTTGATCGGGACCAGCGGCCGTGATGAGAATTGCGTCCCAGGTCGGCTGCCGCGCCGGGCATCGCACTCCCAGCCGCATTGTCCGCCATGCTGCCTCGAGAAGCTCTTCCGTATCCATTCCCGGTTCTAGGGTTCTAGCAAGAAAGTACGGCTCGAATATCCGCACCTGTTCAGACAGAATATTCGACAAATATTGCGCGCTACGTCATTTTGCCTCACGGGGAAAAAAATATCTCAGCACATTACACGCGGCCATGGCGGATTAGGGTTCTTGGAGCAGTGCGTGGACCGTCGAGACAAGATGGGAGAGGAGCTTCGATTTCACGGCTGCATTGTCTGATTCGAGGTGAGAGGCGCCGAAATTTCCAGATTGGAGTGGATATTTCGAGGCCGAAGCAGCCGGAGATTTCTTCGCATTCTTCGATCCGGGAGAGATTGCTACAATGGCGAAGAGGCCGAATTGCGATGTGTGTGAGATGCAACGCGCCAGCTTGTATTGCGAGGCGGACGAGGCCTATCTCTGCCATGAATGCGATGCCTCGGTTCACGGGGCCAACACGCTGGCTTCGCGGCACAAGAGGATCAGCTTCAAACAGGAACAGGAAGAAGAAGAGGAAGAAGAGAACTTGGAAGAGAACGATGGCGTCTGCCCGGCTCACAATTTCGCGGACTCGAGCTTCTCGCTGAGTAGACCGTCGACAGTAGATTACCCCCTGGGCGGCGTGAGAATTGGCGATGTCACTTACGCAAGAGTTTCGTCTCACACCGGCAGTGGTGGCGCTTCCTTGATTGCTCCAAGAAGAAAGGAGGACGAGGAGCTACACCAAGTTCCCAGATTCGTTCCCGTGGCCCAGGAGCTCCCCAGCTTGGAACCATTCCGGTTCCACGCTCTTGCAAGCAATGGAAGAGCTTCTCCAGTTCGAAGTACGCGATTCATGAGTCTTCTGGAGGGCGAAGCCACTGATGCTGATGAGAACCACGGAGCTCCCGACGAGGATGGAGCACAAGTAAGTTCTCACACTTTCTTCTTCTCTCTCTCACTCAAAGTTCGATTTTTCCAGGAGAATCAAGAGCTTGGTGTTGTCCCGGACTTGGTTTCTCCACGAACTGTGGAGCCAGCGGCAGCTAAACCGGTGGCAGCACTCCCGAAAGGGGGGCCGAGGCTGGACAAAGAAAGAGAGGCGCGAGTAAACCGGTACCGCGAGAAACGACGCACTCGTATGTTCTCCAAGAAAATCCGGTACGAGGTGCGAAAGATCTACGCCGAGAATCGGCCACGGTTGAAAGTACGTACTTTGGTTTTGTGAGAGCGATGGGCTCGCTCGATCTTCTTTTGCCGCTGATGATGGATTGGATCTTTCTTTGTGCCAGGGCCGGTTTGTAAGACGAACTAACGAGATAGAGTCTCTCCAGTGCTTGTGGTCCGAGGATCAAGTGAGGAACTAGAGAAAAAATCTCCACTTTTTTCTGTCAAGCAAGAGAACGTTTTTACTATATAAGAGAGATATCTTAGTGAAGAACCCTAAAATATTTGCGATGGCGTCGCTCTGGCGGAAGCACCAGCAGCGCCTTCGTCAAGCGGCGTCTCTCCACAGGTACTCGACGAAGAATCCCTCCTTTTCTTGCACTGCATTCGCAATTGTGGTGCTTGCAGCCGCTGCATCGCTGTGGCTCTACCTCCACACGACCGCGGGAGCTCGGATTTCGCAGTTCCAGGCTCGCGATGCCGGGGATCCCACGCTTTCCAATGTGGATCTTGGCGTGGAATCGGGGAATGCGGTGGCAAGAAGGGGCGATCAGGGCTGTGATTACTCGCGTGGAAGATGGGTGTATGATCCACAGCGCCAGGCTCTCTATAACGAGAGCTGCGTGGATATTTTCAAGGGATGGAACTGTGTGCGCAACCAGAGGAGCAATGCTGGCTCTGTTCTTCGGTGGCGGTGGCAGCCCGATCGATGTGATCTAGCTCGGCTCGATCCTGCAAAGCTTCTCGAAAATCTACAAGGAAAAAATATCGGTGAGCATTGTCTCAATGTGTTCCTTGGGTTCTTAAATTTTTTTTTTCTCTCTATTCACAGGGTTTGTTGGAGACTCTCTCAATCGCAACATGTACGCTTCGCTTGTCTGCACACTCAAGCAAGCCGCAAGCAAGGACTTCAAAAAGTGGAGACCAATTGGATCTGACAAAGGCATTACATTCCTTGGGTACAACGTTACTGTTGCCTATCATCGGACCAACTTGTTGGCACGCTATGGAGAGTGAGTATCATCTCCGATCTTAGTCGTTCATAGAGGACTCCTGCTTGAGTGTGTTTTTTTTATGGATCCAGATGGAAAGCTTCGGCTGATGGAGGCCCGCTCGAAGAGCATGGTTACAAACAAGGATATCGAGTTGATGTGGATATTCCACAGAGCACCTGGTCTGAGGCTCCACAGTTTTACGATATCCTCGTTATAAGCACAGGTCACTGGTAACCAATCACCTTCTTCGTTTGCACCGTTGCTACGAATCGTTTCTGTAGGTGGTTTGCTCCTGAAAAGTTCAATCCAGTGACGTCGCCGATGTTATTCTTTGAGAACGGAAAGCCCATCGTCCCACCGAAGTCTCCCCGTGAAGGATTGGATCTCACACTAAAGTACATGGTATATAAATCTCCCTATCATCGTCCTATCTTTAACTTTTTTTTGTTTTTTCTCAGCTGAGCTTTGCGGAACAAAACATGAAACCCGGAGGAATAAAGTTCTTGCGCACGCAATCCCCTCGTCATTTTGACGGGGGTGACTGGTACCAAGGGGGAAAATGTCACCGTTCCGGCCCCTTAAAGCTTGCAGAGGTGGGCTGCGACATTGTTTTCGTTTCAAACCCATTCGTCCCAAACTTCCAGGTCGAAGAAATGTTCTCTCCAGCGAATAAAGGGGTCAACAAAGAAGTGCGGCTCGTGAACGAGCACCTGTTCCGAGCGGCTTCTGCGAGCTCCACTTTCAGGCTGCTCAACATCACGCACTTGAGCGAGTTCAGGGCCGATGGACACCCGTCAACGTCCGCTAAGAAGCAGCACGAAGATTGTATGCACTGGTGCCTACCCGGAGTGACAGATACATGGAACGAAATACTTGGAGCACTCATCTTGGAAGAATCCGTCACAGGAGTCCTTTAGTCTGGTAAGTGGCCGTGAAATTTTTAGTTCTTCTTTTTTCCTTCCGAGTGGCAATATATCTGCGCACTAACGACGAAATATGATGAACTTCTTCGTGGATTCTAGGCCATCGCAGGGACCACACGGTGAAACAACTGTAAAGCCGCGAAGACAGGTTGTATTTTTTTCCAATCGCTGGGACCACTTTGGTTGCGCTTGGACAAGGTGGAACAAAGCAGGGAATGACGACTTCGTGCACGGGATGGCAATCAAAGGTCGGCCGGGTATGGACATGGACGACGGAAGAATTAGAGTGCGGCATTTGGAGAGCTCTCGAGCGACGAACGATGGAAACAAGGGTGGTAGGGACATACAGGCGGGGAATGATGATGAACAGAGCCGCGGCTGGCGAGATGCTCGAGATGGATTGCTTTTGTTGCGTAGCTCTTCGCCATCGTCGATATCTGCTCGTCCCTCCAGTGCCTCTTGCTGCAGCAGCGCAGCTTGTCGACGATCACATCAGGGACAAGTACTGGCAAAACCAGAAAAAAGGAGGAGCTCGATCGCACTACCGGGACAGGGATTCTTCACAGGCAGGCAGAGAAAATGGTTACAGGCTGGGACTACTGGTGACTTGTAGGTGAGAGTTTAGCGACAGGGACGATCTCTCTTCATATCTTCTGGCGAAGTGGAAAAATGCTTCTTGCCAGTCACAGAAGATGGCCATGACCAGCGAAGCGGAGGATCAAAGTATCCGGAGATCACGGAAGTTACTCCAGGAGATCGAGGCAAGGCCGCCGCCACCTCCGCCGCTCGCGCAATCGAAAAGCACAGGCAATCTTCTGGACACGCAGATTGTCATAGTACTCGGCGCGGTACTCTGTGTGCTCATATGCGCGGTGTGGCTCCATTCCGTGGTACGGTGCATGGTACGGCGCAACCGGCGGCAGCCGGTGGCGACCGTCACCGGCGGCGGCGATGACGAGAGCGCCGCCGGGCTGGACGCGAAGACCATCTCCACGCTGCCCGTCGTGCCGGCCCCGGTGGACGGGCATGACCGGCAGGCACCCGTGGGGCCGGTCGCTCTTAGCAGCAATTCCGAGTGTATTGTTTGCTTGCAAGAGTTTGGGCATGGCGAGAGGATGAAGCTCCTCCCAAATTGCGGCCATGGATTTCACGTCGATTGCATTGGCGCGTGGTTGATGTCCCACTCGTCGTGCCCGATCTGCCGCCACAGGGTCTTGGAGCCGCCGTCGCCGTCGCGATCGTCGCGATCGTCGCCATCGCCCGGCGATTCGAGCTCGTCCTTCCTCCTCTCGTCGCCACTTATGCGCCAGTTCCAACACCAGCTCAATTCGCAGCAGCGATCCTTCCGGCGCCAGCAGCAGCAGCAGCAGCCCAATCCGGATCTCGCCCTCCAGCACAATCGATTCTCCCATCAGCTCCGCCAATTCCACCTCCAGCAAGAACCATCGTCTTCCGCGCTGTACGAAACGACCAACGGCCGGAGCCTTGCCACGTAGCGGCCACATCGGACGGTTGTCGTTCAAGGCCATCGGACGGTTTTCGTTTGAGGCCGTCCGCGTTGACGGTCAATTAGGATTAGATGCGAATGCGAAGAAACAATGGCTTGTTTTGTTTGAGGAGGAGAGCAAATGCCGTGCCGCGCTCGTTTTGGAGTTCTTTTCTACCTATCTTAGGGCTAGAAAAATGTAGTCATTCACCCCTGGGCCAATAAAAGATCTGGAAACACGTGTCGTGCAGGAAAGCTCGCGGAAGGGGCAGTGCAGCCTGTGGGGTGGGGCCCGCGTAGCGGGCAGCGGGCAGCCGGGCAGCCGGGCAGGGGCAGCAAAGGCTGCCCGTGCCCGCTGGCGACAAAGGCGGGAAAGATGCGGTCTGCCTTTAGTTACGTGACTGACCATACTCCCTTCTTTGCCAAATCGCCGTTAGCTATGGCGGCCAGAGCTCCAAAGGAAAGAAAAAAAGAAGCCCTATCTCACTCACCCCTGTCTTTCGTATCGCGCAAGGGTTCGCGATGAAAGCGCTCCGGGTAAGGTCTCTTTCTCCTTGTTCTCCTAGATCCAAAACAAGCAAGGGGGTCTTGAGAAATCCTCGAGCTTTCCACCATGGAAAGGACAAGAAGAACAGGGAAATTGGGGTCTCTCCTCTCAGCCGGATCACACACAGATTTTGGGGTCTTCTCCTCGATCATCCGGATTGATCCAGTAGCCGTAAAAAAATAACCAGAGTAAAACATTTGGGGCAGGACTTTTACAGGGATTCGAACCCTGGCACCATCCCAGGCGGGAAGGCCAGACCTTGAATGATATACATGGCTATGACTGAGCGGGCGTTCATGGACCACATGTGCACGCAGCCCTCCTGTCCACGCGTCACGATGCCAGTGGCTGCCATAAAGTCCAAGTCCTCGCGGGGCCCGGGACGCGGCCCAGTGACTGCCTGCCACGTGTCGCAGGCGGCCGGAATATCTACCGAGAAAAGCTGCGTCTTATCTCCTGCCACGCGGCGTGCGCTGGTTGGGCGAGGCGTTGCCCTAGCGGAACCGCGCAGTTTTAATCCGGGAGCCGCCCGGTTGGAAATTTTTTCGTTTTCACCGGCGGTAAAGATGGGGTTTTCATCTTCTTCCCCTTTAGTATGGGTGTCGTTTAGTTTGGTTGGGTTGCCTTTGTTTGCCCTAGCTATGGCGTCTGCGGCGGTAAAGTGTGTGGCGCCCTGAGAGAGAGGAAATTTTCTCGCAGGAAGAGCGAGAGGCGCTCGGATGTGGGGATCTAGGGCCGTCGCAGCAGTCGATTTCCCGGAGGCTCCGCGAGTAGGGTTTGGTTCTGTGAAAAGATGCGGTGTTCTTCATGCAGGCAGTGGCAGCGGCGGTAGCAGCGGCATCGGAAAGAGCCATGGCGCTCCCCTGCGCGAGCTCGCGCGGAGGCCGGAATCGCTGAAATCGTCCGAGGGATGGACGAGCAAGACGAGGAGGGGGCTAAGCTAAAGGCAGTGTAGCGCTTCTATCTTCTTCTTCCCACTTCTTCTCCTTTTTTCTTAGGGTTTCCTCGTTCTTCCATAGCTCTCTCTCTCTCTCTATCTTTCCTCTCTCTTTTTTGCTCTCTATGATCTCTTGGGGCGCTCGTTCTTGGCCAATGTTACAAGGCGCTGCTGCTCAATGCCGACGGATTACGCTCCTCGTAGCAAGCCGATGCATACTAGAGAAGTGAGGTACGAAAGAAATGATAGGTTCCTGGGCAAGAGAGACTGGCAGCGCGTCGCGGTGTTCGAGAGGTCCCCAGCTCTGAGCTCCTCGAATGGCGGATCTTATGATCCTCCCAGCAAGCGGCGTCCATCTGGTACTTTTAGCTTTCTCTCCTCTATTTTTGCCTTAGCGCCGAAACTGATCACCGTGGTTGTTTCCAGGGCGGCATGGATTCTCTGGCGAGAACGGGAGATTCCGGGAGCACAGCAGCAGCCGCGCGTCAGAGAACCAGCCCATGTTTTCCTCGGCGCCGAGTGGTTTCACGGGCTTCGGTCACAAGCCGGAGCGCTATGTTCTTCCCGGTGGGGGGATGACCCACTGCCCCGGCTCGAGCAGCTCGGGAAGGAACGGTCTCAGAGATGGCGGAGGCGAGGACGATTTCTTCCGGGAGAGGGACTGCGAGCGCCTGGTTTCTTCGTCGCCCAGCCCCGCGCAGCCGCTCCATCCTTACAATTCGGTGGTCTACGACGCGCACCCCGGCGACGGCCACAGGGGCTCTCGCTATGGCTGGGATGTTCACAGCAGGGGCGAGCGAGAGCATCACGCGACGACGCGGGAGAGGTTCTCCAGCAGCCCGGATGTGTTGGACAGAAGAAATGGTGGCGGCAGCGGCGGCGTCTCGAGATTTGGGTGGAGCGATGCTCCAGAGCGGGAGCTCGAGGGGCGGCTGGACAGATATGGTGCTTCCCGGGACCCGGATGGGCGGATTCGAGAGCTCCCGACGGAGGAGGTCTTGGATCCGTTCGTTTCGCCGAGGTTCCAGCAGTCGCAGCACCAGCGGGGGGGCTTCTCGGTGCCGGCCTCGCTGCTACAAGAGGAGAGGGTACCTCTGCCACCATCGTCTCCTCCGAAGAAGACTCGCCTCAAGTGGGGGGAAGGTCTTGCGAGATACGAGCAGAAGAACACCAGCAGAGCCAGGTCCCACGAGGAGGAGCCAGCCCCTGCGACGAGTAACGGATGCGCTGAGCAGGAACACGCACGGGGTTTCGAGAGCAAGGGAGACGCGAATGGAAGTAAGTGATATTTCGTTCGTTCGGTGTTCGTTATAAGTGATTTCTTCTCTGCTTTGCAGGTTTGCCTTCTTCGGACAGAGATCTCACGCCGTCGAGAGAGCATACTCCCACTCCTGCGCCCAGCGGCGTCAGTGACAAGGTGGTGTGCGGTACTGACCATCCCATCATTCTAACTTGTGAGACCATGGCGACGGCAGCACCGAGGTCTCCTTCCATACCCCTGACTACACCGAGATCTCCTTCTATACCTTTTGCGAGAGGTAATGAAGAGTGTGCGCTGTCACCGCAACCGAGAGAGGCAGAAGAGACTCACGATCCGCCCGCACAGACCCTCCAGCAGCAGGAGGAAGAGCCTCGGCTGTCCAAAGAAGCGGTGCTACTTCAGGTGGAACAGGTTGAGCTTGAGATAGAGTCCATCGAGAAGGAGCTGGCAAGTCTTGCGGTCCAGACGGATGCGCCACAGCCTGTTCAACCTGATCTAGAAAAGCAACCATGTTCGACAAAAGAGACGGAGACTGCTGTGGAAATACCGGAGGAGAGGAATTCCGACACGGATGTCGTTATGGTGGATGCTGCTCAGCAGCCGGAGGATCAGCCGGAGTCTCAATCGGGTAATTTACCAGGTGAACTTCCTGAAGTTATTACTGACCGATGTTTAGAAGATTTTGGGCACATACTTCCTCAAGGATTTGTGCGTGGGAGGAAGGTTTACAGCAGTCCACAGGAAACAGAAGTTTGGATACGTAACGAAGAGTTACACAGGCTGAATAAAGATCGGATACTGGAGAAGATGCTTAACAAGAAAAATCTTCAGAGATTTAAGGAGCGGTCGCTTGTTCTCAAGTACAGATTGTTGAGGGACAGATATGGGACACGGAAGGGTGATGCTGCTACTGATGGCAGGAATGGTTTTACTCAGCGGCTGCCTCAAAAACTGCGACTTCCAGATGGTAAGATGATTTGTTTTTCCCTCTTTCATTATGCTCAAACGCTTTCCTTCTGCAGATCAACAGTGGTTGCGGGTGGTTTCGGAGCCCGTGCGTCAGTATAGAGAAACAGAACGCATGCCATCGATGATTTTGTGCCAAGGGGAGAGGAGTGCGCAGTATATCGTGCAGTCAAACCGGCGGGTGGAAGATCCCATTGAGTTCGAGCAGGAGAGGAAAAGCATCAACCCCTGGACACCCGAGGAGAAGAAGCTCTTCTTGGATAAGTTTGCTTTGTTCTACAAGAACTTTGCCAAGATCGCGTCGTTCCTGCAGCACAAGACGACGGGTGACTGTGTGGAGTTCTACTACCGGAACCAGAAGACGGAGGAGTTTCAGAAGCTACGTAAGAAGCAGCAGCTGAAGAAGCGTCACTCTCGGGCAAGCTATTTGGCGACGACAACCCCGGCGGCAAGTGGCAGGCTCCGGGATTACAACGCAGCGTCCGCGGTGGCCAAAGTTACGCCAGGGAAGGAGACGAGCTCGGGTAACGTCTCGAGCATTGTGACGGGAGTTTGCAGCCTGAGCAGTGATGCGCCGCTGACACCACTGAGGGGTCCGTGTGAGAGGGCGCTGCTGCGGGAGGAGCACTCCATCAAGCAGAAGGGGGTGCGTAGCTCTCGGAGTAGACGGGAACAGGTTGAGGAGGCGGAGTCGGAATGGACAGATACGGAGAGGGAGCTGTTTCTGGATGCGGTGTTACTCTTCGGGAAGGATTTCAAGAGCATAGCGGTGCACGTTCGCTCAAAGAACGAAGGTCAGTGCAAGACATTTTACAGCAAAGCTCGGAAACGCCTAAAGCTTGACCGGATTGTTGAACAGCATCAGCTGGCTCAAGAGATGAGTGCAACAACGACACAGCAGCTGGCCTCGGTAACTTCCCCAGATGGAGGCAGCTTCCCCTCGAATGCCTCGAACACGGTGCAAGCTAGAAGCTCCACCCCCGCCGCCATCACCCCCGCCGCCACCGCCTCCGCCTCCATCAACTCGGAGATCACGACCGAGCCGACTGCTACTATTGCCACCCCCGGCGTCCAAGCGGGCGAGACGATGTCCAAGACACCGCTGAGCCGGAGCAGCGACGTGAAGCTCTTTGGACAGTCGCTCCTCTCCCATCCACCAACAATGTCACTAACAGCAACAACAGCAGCAAAGCCGGAGCCTTGTGACTCGACTTCTAGGGGCGTTCCGTTTTTGCTCGGCGAGAGCTGGTGCTCGGGCTCAGCTGGTAAGTTGCCACTGCTATTTCATTCCTTGGGGCCGATCGACTAAGAGTGTGAAAGTTACCACAGAAGCCCAGGATAGAGAGTTTGCCGCGAGATGTAGGAGTCTGGCCGCCGTGAGCAGCGGCGGCGGGATCTACAGGCTGGATCAAAACGGGGGCTTCTCAGGTGCCTTGCCTGAGGCGGCCTCGAAGCTGCCGGATGGTGTGGTGGACTGGCAGCAGCTTGCGGCGACGAGAGAGCCCCTGGATCTTTGGAAGGGGGAGGTGATGAAACCATCTTTCGTGGCTGGTTTCTGCCAGTCCTCTCAGCAGCAGCAAAGCCAGCAGCAGCAGCACCAACACCCGAAAGATCAGCAGCAAGAACAACAGCAGCAGCCGCAGCAGCAGTTCTTGATGCAGTTTCCAGCGAATTGGTCTAGCAGCAGCGGCAGTGACCCTCTTCACGCCCGGATTTTGGCCCAGTTTTCGGATCAACAGCAGCTCCACCAGCAGCTCCAGCAGCACCAGCGGCAGTGCCTGTGCAACCGGTGCCACTGTTGCTACTGCTGCTGCTAGACGAGATCTTCTTTAATCGAGCCAGCGAGCGATCCAAGTTGGTTTTACAGGGAAGAACACACGTAGAAGGCAAGCGAAAAAGCTCAAGAGAAGAGTGAGGAAGTTTTTTTTTTGTAAGCTTGGACCGCGAGGCATTCTCCTCCCGTCCACTGTATCAATATATGTTCCATCCTAAAATTCTTTCATTCAATGATTATGCGGCGTATATTCTCCGTGAATTTGGTACGGTCAATGATTATTCTGTGTCTATTCTCTGTTGATACGGAACGCTTGATCTTAGGGTACGAAAATCGCTTTGTTTACCTTTAAAAATTTTAAGTGTGCGGGCCACGAGTCGCCTTATCTATGGCCGGGAATATTTCACCCTGGTGGAATATACCGTTTACTCTTTTGGCGGCTGCGTGGTGTGGAGGTTCACCCTTTCCGCGATTGGTGATTGAGCGCCATAGCCAGAGCTTTGCGGCACTGTTCTTGCGTGGAATCGAGGGGATTCAAGGGCGGCGGCGGCGGATTTTCGAGCTGGGCGGCGGCGCGGGTGGTGGATGAGCCGGCGGGCTCGGCATTCTGAGAATTTTGGGAATTTCGAGGTCTGTGCTTGGATCTGGGAGGGAGTGTGGGAGATTTCGCCGTGCCGAGTGTGGATTGGGGCTTGGCCGCGGCGTGGCCGGGTGTAGGGTATTTTGGCAATGTCCTCGCCGCAAAGCCAGAAATGGATGGCTTTTCTGTCGGATACTTTTCTAGACGAGGAGTCACAGAATTCCAGTGCCCTCTTTTGGGGCTCACAACCTTCTTGCGATCCAGTGGATTGCTGGTAAGTTAACAAGCTTTCTAATTTTTTCCTTTGGGATTGATTGGAAATCTTTCTACTGTTCTTGCAGCGTCGAGAATGACTCCTCCAAAGTGGATTCGGATGAATTCGAGAAGACATGTCCAAAGAAAAGGTGAGCTTTCTTCTTCTCGATTCAATGCGACTTTTCCTTGGTAGATCTTTGATGGTTTACGAGAGATTGTTTCCAGGTCCCGTGAAGAGTCGTGCGGTGCTCCAGGGAACAAAGCTTGCCGGGAGAAAATGCGAAGGGACCGTCTCAATGACAGGTTTGCCAACTTTGTTCTTCCAAGTTCTAAAGCTCTTTCGCGAACTTTGTTTCCTTTTTTTCACAGGTTTGTAGAGCTGAGTGCCGCATTGGAGCCCGGAAGGCCTCCAAAGTCGGACAAGGCAACGATCCTCAGCGACGCGGTGCGTGTCATCACGCAGCTCCGCGCGGAAGCCCAGCAGCTCAAAGAATCAAACGAGCAGCTCCGGGACGGGATCAAAGAACTCAAGGTAAGTTCCAAGCTCTCTCAAGCTTCCCAGCTCTAAAAACTCTCCTCTTCGATCGTCCATCCAGGCCGAGAAGAACGAGCTCAGAGAGGAGAAGATGAGGCTCAAGTCCGAGAAGGACCGACTGGAGCAGCAGCTCAAGACGATGGCGATGCCTCCGAGCTTCATGCCACACCCGGCGGCGGCGCTCCACGCTCACCACGCCGCCGCCGCCGCCGCGGCCTTCCACGCACAGATCCAGGCGGCTTCCACCAAGACTGGCGGAGCATCCGCCGCGGGGCCATTGCCAGGATTCCCCGGCATGGCAATGTGGCAGTGGATGCCGCCGGCGGTGGTGGACACCTCGCAAGATCACGTCCTCAGACCACCAGTCGCGTGAGAAGACTTCCACTCGATCCGCAAGAACACCCGCCATTTGGGAAGAAAAGCTTTCTTTCTCTTCGTCTTTTTGGTCTATTTGTAAAAGAATAAAAGGTGAGTACGGCAAGTATGGTCGTACGTGGTTTATGGATGTATCTGTACGGCAATCCGCACGAGCCGTACGGCCATAGCGGTGCGTTATTTTGACGTGGTTTGTGGCTAAACTTAAACTAAAGTGGGTTAAGCTAAACCCCGGGAGGTAGCGCATTAGGGTTAGGGAGAAAGAGGAAGGAGGAGAATGGCGATGGCGATGGCGCGATGGCGGCAGCGGCTCCTCTCCTCGGCGTGTTCTTCGTCGTCCTCCAGTGCCGCGGCGCCGCAAGCGCTACTCCGCCTCGCGTCGTCGGCATTGAGTCGCCAGTCCTCGTCCAGGGGCTTCGCGGCGGCGCCGGACGACACCACGCCCTTCGTGGTCGATATTCCAGTGCCGTACGCGGGGCACCGGTGCGATCCGCCGGAGCAGCGCGTGGAGACCTCGGCCAAGGAGCTCGTGGATTTCTTCAAGGTGATGTATGTGATGAGAAGGATGGAGATTGCGGCGGACTCGCTCTACAAGGCGAAGTTTATTCGCGGGTTTTGCCATCTCTACGACGGGCAGGAGGCGGTGTGCGTGGGAATGGAGGCGGCGCTCACCAAGGAGGACGCCATCATCACTGCTTACAGGGACCACTGCACGCATATTGGGCGAGGTGGCACGGTGCTGGAGGTGATGGCGGAGCTCATGGGGAGAAAAAGTGGGTGCTCGCTCGGGAAAGGTGGATCGATGCATATGTACAACAAGGAGGGGAATTTCTATGGAGGGAACGGGATTGTTGGAGCACAGACCGCGCTGGGAGCTGGGCTAGCTTTCGCGCAAAAGTATAACAAGCAGAACGCGGTGTCGCTGGCTTTGTATGGGGATGGAGCTGCCAACCAGGGACAACTCTTTGAGGCCATGAACATATCAGCGCTGTGGGACTTGCCGGTGATCTTCGTCTGCGAGAACAATCACTGTGAGTTTTTCCTTTTGCTCTTTGTTATGAGCTGACTTGTGCGAGTTCTTCCTCGTTTTGATTGTGTGGAATTTTTGTCGTGTAGATGGAATGGGGACGGCCGAGTGGCGCTCAGCAAAATCTCCAGAATACTACAAACGTGGAGATTATGTCCCGGGTCTTAAGGTACAAGTTGTGCTCCAAAACTACAATGATCGTCTCCTTCTTTTTCTTTCAACTGTTACTTTGGTGGTTGTCTCTTAGATTGATGGAATGGACGTTTTAGCAGTCAAGCAGGGCGTCCGATTCGCAAAGGAGCACGCTTTGACAAAAGGCCCCATCGTAAGCTTATCTAGTTTTTATATCTTTTGGCTTTACTCCTCACGGGGGATGGGAACGTTACAGGTGTTGGAAATGGATACTTATCGTTATCATGGGCACTCCATGTCTGATCCCGGGAGTACATATCGGACAAGGGAAGAGATTTCCGGCGTGAGACAGGTAACTTGGAGTCATTATCGTTTGCACACTGCACTTTTAAAACAATAATTTGCTGCCACTGCCAGGAGCGAGACCCGATTGAAAGAGTAAGAAAGCTTCTTTTGGCGAAAGAGATCGTGACTGTAGCCGATTTGAAGGTGAGTGCGCTGTGTGCGCTATTGGCAGAGATTTCTCTCAACTTGGTCTTTACAGAACTTGGAGAAGCAAGCCAAGGCAGAAGTGGACGAGGCCGTTAATCAAGCCAAGGTAGGACTTTCTCTTCTCAAGTCGAGTGAAACCCTTGGATTCTAAAAATCTTTCGGGCACGATTTTTGCAGGAGGGCGGTCAGCCCGAAACTCACGAGCTGTTTACGCACGTTCACGTCAAGGGACTGAAGCAATTGGTAAGACGAAGATTTGTAGCTTTCTTCACAGTTGATTGCTGCGAATTTTCTTCTTGTTTGCAGGCGTATGGCCCTGACCGCAAGGAAGTTATAGTTCCACTTCCATGATCGAAGAAAACGGATAGATCGATTGTTTTTCCGGAGCTAGAAATAAGTGCTACAAAGACACTCTTGAAGTTTTGTAAGATACATATTGGACAAAATAAGAATTCGTTTGATTGATTCGAGCAAACTTTTCAAAGCTATGGTTACAAGTTTTACTACTATTTACACCATTTTCACGTTGATAGAGACTTGGTCGATGATTTTCTAAAGTCCTTGAAGTTGTTAAAACCGAGCCTGTGGAGCCAAGACCTGGCCGTCTCGGTGGAGATTTTTCTATGGCTAGTCATGCCCATGAGGGAGTCAGCTGCTAGATCTCCAGCCTGCGAGAGAGAGAGAGAGAGAGAGAGAGAGAGAGAGAAAAGAAAAAGAGATGAGGTTTTAGAAGTGTGTAACTCTTCTCACCTGGACGTCAAGGAGGAGATCGTTGTTACAAAAGTCGCGAAACATCTTGATGATGGAGTCCTTGCGAGGAGGCTCGCCTTTCTTTGGACAGTTTTGCTCTATCCATGCCCGAGCTTTGCTTTGCAAGTGCTCCGGTTGTAGCAGCCACTCGACTTTGACGTGCTTTCCCTGCGTGAATCAATGAAAAGGAGGATTTTTTACAAATGACAAATGAAAAAGAAACAATCTCTACAAACCTGCTGTGACTCCGAGAATGTACCGTCGGCTCGCCTCTCCCAGTCCTCCACCCATTTCCTCGCAGTTTTTCCAGACACGCCGACGGATTCACCAGCCTTTGCGTATGCCTCGGTTACCTGTCAAACTAAAGACGCTATTAGCTCTTCTCGACAAACAAAACAAAGGCCACAGAGCAGTGTCCAAAGAGCAAACGAAAATCCGAAGGACTAAAGAACCGATCGAGAGAACTTTACCTTACACAGAGAATCCGAGGAGGACTGCGCCATGTACTTGTAAAACTCGGCCACGCAAAAGAGCTTTCGCGACTTAAGCGGGAGCTTCAAGACGAGCTGGAAAGAAGAGTCCCTCTCCTTGACGTAGTGTGACTTTGGCTTCCCGGGGCCCTTTTGCCTCCCCCTCTTCTTCGTCACGGCCTTGGAAGAATTCTCCTCGTTTGGAGGCATGGTCTGGAGAGAGAGCACAGTGGACGGAGTTCTAACCGGCGGCTGTGGAGGAGGCGGCGGCGGCTGTGGAGGCGGCGTAGATTCCTGGCCCATCAGGATCATGGGATGGAAACTCTGGCCATTCTCCGCGGCCATCATCATCAAAGAAAAGCCTTGCATCGAGGCGTGCTGGTCCATGAGAATATTGTCGTGTCCCACGCCATCGTCCAATCCTTCTGATTGATCCCTATCGCCGAGGAGCGCTACCTCGTTCGCCCAGCTCAATGCCGCAGCTGCCGCCGCAGCGTCCACGCGCTGGCAATCAAGATCCATTTCCCTGCTGTGTAGAACAGTATGCATATCTTCACCCCTGCCCAATTCCGGCCTGTGCCGCAGCTAGCGATCGCTAGGAACTGCCTAGATTACCTGCATTACTCCAACTGCGCTTTCGATCCGGCTCCACGGGCGGCGCCTCTTCTTCCTGGACGGCATTCGGGGAGATGAAGAACCCTAATTTTGCCCAACGGACTCGAACGGTCAGGATCAATTTGTATGATCAACGGCGTCATGAATATTCGCACACAATTACGTTTAAATTCCAAATTAGTATTAAAATTCAAATTAAAAGTTACAATTATTATAATTATTACATAAAAATTAATTTTCTTCATTTAAATAAATAGTTGCAACTCCCAAAGCCTGAAAAGTAATCAATTTTTGAACAAGAATAATTACAGAAATAAAAATAAATCCTACTCGGATCAGTGGAAGAGATCAATGCAGTGTTGTCAAAGTAGCAATTATAATCATAGCGAGCTTTCATTTGGAAATAAAGGTTATATGCCCACGATGCATGCGAATAGATGCTATTAGGATAAGAGCAAGGACCATCAAACTGAATCGCAGAACAATCAACTTGAGAGCACGCATAATCTAAACCCCGCTGTAGCATATCAGGTGGAATAGTAGGATTAGCTATGCAATACACTTTGCCATCAACAATACGACCAGAAGGTGTTATAGCAGTAGCATCAACCATTGAAGTTGGAAACACAAAAACAGAGCAAATCACAAACACTATAGGAAAAGCAAGATAATTCATCTTCATCATCTCATCAGTCAGTTACAAAGCCTTAGAGTTTTGTTCCACATTTATTTATGAGTTACTAGCTTCAGAACCTCTAATTACTTTAGCAGCCCAATAAAAATGTATGGTTTCGCTCTTTTTTTTTATGGTTTTTCTCAAAACTGGAACATTCTATGGACAGAAAGTGATCGTATAGTCACCACCATTGGAACAAGTAAACGTGCTGCTTGGGTCATCGTAAGCGTAGCTATACGCGAGCGGGCAAATGTCCTTGAAAATTTTCGAGTAGGACGAGGGTTTGCAGGTCTGGGGAGTGGAGTAGTCCCCCGTGCAACAAAAAGGTGGCGTGCCAAACGCCAGGCACGCACTCTTGCAGCCCACGACTCCGGAATAATCGTGAACTTGGAGCTCGGACGGGCACCACGGAATCACGTCCCTCAGGCAACCCGTGAAGGGGCAGCCGGACTTACTGGGAGTGATCCGGATGGGCAGATTATAGCCATCAACCAGAGAGACGTCGTAGAAGTCCAAGCCGGTGTTGGGGGCGCCACCAAGTTTAAACTCGGCAATGCTGTAGGGGGGAGCTCCTCCTATGCCTTGGCAATAGAGCTGCTTGTTACAATCCCCAGTGCTGCATCCGCTGCCTACAGGAACCACAAATCAAAGATCAAAGAATTAAATATCTTGAGGACAGACCTTGAAAGTCGCAACCCCTGCGGCCCCAGAACCGGCCACCCCAGTCCGATGTTGGAGTTCCCAAGTCTATAAAAGTGTAAGGTTCTAGCTGCGTGCCACCATTTCCAAGAGCCGGGCTATCGCCGTTGTTGAGCCATCCAGGCCAGACCGTGAACGGGCATCCATTGTATAGACGAAAGTTTATCCCAAAAGATCCTGCGGCTTTCAGCATTTAGAAAGTTCCAAGTTGTAGGAGCTGGAAGCTTACTTGAGGCATTCAAAAGAACAGTGCAAATCCAGGTCGCTAGCACCAGACGACTTTGAGCCATCTAAACGGGAAGCTACAAGTACTGCTTAAGCGATCCTGGGGTTGTCCGGCCTTTTATGCCAAGAAACGTTTGCAATCACAATTGAGAATGACTCAAGAATCATCTACCAGATTTTCAGTCAAGTGACTATAGCATGATATTCCCTTGCATCAGCAATAAGTCATCACTGGGAGCTTAGTAATGAAATAAGGGTGCCACCATGGCATTCCACGTACGCACCAAATATGTGCTTAGATTCTAAAAGTAGAGCCGGTCATCTTGGCAAGCATCGTGTTCCACACAAGATCTCTTTGAGACATTCATTTGTAAGTCTCATCCAAATGAACGATTAACCCATGGGTTGGCCAGCAAAGATTTTGCCATGCACGAGTTGACTACTGTTGCTGACCCATCGGCCAGTTGTGTTCATGATATAGCATATTCTTTTGATTCTCACAGCTGTCCATTCTGGAGTGTACATTTACATTGTTGCCACATTTGCTATACATTTGGAGGCAAGAGTAAATTGGAGTGTAATTTCTTGGCATGAGATAGAGTGTTGCATGTCTTGATAGCAAAGATAAGTTGTTCAAGCATAGCTCATCTTAGAACCCTGGAATATGTTAGTTTAAGAACAAAAACATATTCTAAACCATACTAAACTTGTTGTTAAAAATTTTGTTAGAATTTCTGAAACTCCACTCTAAAAATGTCCTTTTTAAGGAATAATATTTGATTTAAGTGTTTTTATTTCAAGTTATGAAAACTGTGGTGTTGAAGTGGACGTTTCAGTGACTATAGCACATTTTTAAATATTATTGATCCAGAGGTTGGAGTATTTGGTTTACTCTATAGCATAGAAATTATTTTTCCAAAATCTCCATCAAAAGTATTAACATAATTTCAAGTAGGCTTATTTATAAGTGGGTATAAGAATATACCATTAGCAAAGAGTTTACAATAATTTCACAATCTGATTGTAATTTTGTATTACTATTATTACCTTTTGGAGTACAAAAATGCATAGTAAAAGATTTAATTGTAACTGAAGAATACAAGAAGATAGTTATTTTGTTTAATATGGAGTTTTTGATATAGATAATTACTGGTCAAATGGAATTCAGAATGCCCCAACCCACAGGGGGTATTCCCTAGGCATCAAACAGAACTGGAACAGACAAGGGGAATCTGATTGTTTAATTAAAACAAAGCATTGCGATGGTCCTTGCGGATGTTGACGCAATGTGATTTCTACTCAGTGCTCTTAATGTCAAAGTGGAGAAATTCAACCAAGCGCGGGTAAACAGCGGGAGTAATTATGACTCTCTTAAGGTAGCCAAATGCCTCGTCATCTAATTAGTGACATGCATGAATGGATTAATGAGATTCCCACTATTGACATATCTAATTTGAACACTTTAGTGCAAATGGCACCAAGGACATGGTGAATAAGATGGGGACACCCAGTTTTAGTTGTATGGACCCTTAGTCGAAAGGGCTGGATTAGGCACATTGCCAAGTGTGGGGGATGCCCTTAGGGTTATGGTCAACAACTTAAAGGTTTGGAAGATCTAATACTTATTAGCAAACTTGTTAAAGTGTCAAGGTTATATCACTAAATGATTTTATGGCTAAATAAGGATAAACTCCTTGTGAGGTTAAGGAATAAAATTCTCAATTCAAAGTGTTGATTTGAACTATTGGTAATGGTCAATGTGACCAAGTGGGAAGGGCACATAAACGAAATGAACTACAACAATGTAATGGTATTGTGAGTTTAAAAAAATAATCTCTAAGGAAGGACATGTGGGTGGGTCATAAAGTTGGGCCATAGATAAAGCCCACAATAGGAAATATTGAAGAGACTTATTAAAGATGAATATGTTTTAGACTTGGCAAAGTAAAGCTTTTGTTATAGAACCAAAAAGATACCTCAAAAATGGAGGTAGTGATACTATGTTGTATGATGCAACAAAGGATAGAAGCAAAAAACTAATGGCCAAGAATAAATTATAGAAATCATTAAAAGAAATCCAAATGATAAGTTAGGCAAAGAATACCCACATGGTGGGTGTTAACAAATTGTGGGAAAGAAAATATGTTTTTAAGGATGGATTTCTATATACTTCAATTTGGTGAATATAAAAAATTTTAAAAGAGATGGAGCAAATGATAGGGCCATGAATAACCTTAGCATACATTATGGATAAGTGGAATTTAATGTCTGGAGTGACACTAAATAAAAGAGAAGATGATGGTGCCTTTAAGTAAAGAACTTTCTAGGATGGGAAAATAGAGTTTGCATAATATGTGCAATGCAAGGTGTTAGAAACACCCAAGAAAATGACTTTGAAAAGTCAAAATTAAAAGTTCTAAAATATGATGGTTATGTTGATGGAAGCTAAAACTACTCAGAAATGAATAGTTAGATTGAGATAGAGAAAGTGTTTTTAAAAGGTTTAACAAAAACTAAACCAAATATAGGGAGAGAACCACCATAAGTTGTTTAATGAGTTTTTATGTTAGAGAGACTATACTCCTTAGAGGATGGGCAAGGCATGGTAAGCCTTCAATATTGAACCATTAATGAATATTAACTAGGTGCCAAAGATGAAAAATGGTAATTCATGATAAAGTTACTTTATAAAATAGTTTATCATTTGATGAAGATATCAAACTTTGTCTATAGGTGGTGGAGTTGTAAGACACAAATCCCTAAGCCCCAAAGTGGAGCTAAAAGAGTGCCACGTGATAGTGGCCGAAGCAGAAGCCAAATGAGTGTAACATGTTTGGACTAAAAGTTCTGACTTGGATAGTTAAGAGTGGGAGTGGAACTCCCAATGAAATACTCAAAAAACAAGTATAAAGCAAGCAATAAGTGAGTCTCTAAGAAAAGGGGCATAAGAGGACCAACACATGACACATAAAAGTGTCGAAATGGAGTCTGAGATGAACCCAAAACAAAGTTCGAGATGGAGTCCGAGATGGAGTCCGAGATAGAGTCCAAGATGAACCCGAGATGGAGTCCGAGGAGTCCAAGATGCATCTGAGAAAGAGTTCAAGATGGAGTCTGAGGTGGAGTTCAAGATGGACCCGAGATGGAGTATGAGGTTGAGTCTGAGATGGACATGAGATGGAGTCTGAGGTCAAGACCGAGACCAAGGTTGAAACCGAGACTAAAACCGAGACCGAGACCGAGTCCAAGTCTGAATTTGAGTCTAAGTCCAAGTCCAAGTTTGAGTCTGAGGGTAAAAGCCCAAAGCGTTCACCTCTCAAACCCTGAGGGGTTTGGTGAGCTCTAAAAGTATAGCAGGGGGAGGATTCTAGTGGAGCCAATTTAGCCAGGAAAGGCTAGTGTGACTATGGAAGGCTATACTCATGTGTTAAATGATGATATATCCATTAAGTAGTACAAGGCTAAAGTGAATATGGACAAACAAGCAAGGTAACTTGGTGAAGTGTTCAAGAGCCGGTTTTAGCTCCCCTAGGAGATCGAATGGTTAATGCTCCTAATCCAAGTGTGGTGTAAGCTCCTGAGTTTGGACTTCCCGGGAGGTCACCCAGCCCAGTACTATTCAAACCCAAGGATGCTTAACTCCAAATATCCCAAGACCCTTAACCGTTTGGAAAAGGGGGTGCACTCTTGTTCATGGGCCCTTTCCCTCTATATTTGAACCCCATGGATCGTCTCTCAAGTCGTTCTCTTTGGTTGCTTACATGTGGGTGGCACTACTTACTTCAATAGCTAGTGTGACTCATCAAAATCTCGCTCTAGCCACATGGCTAAATCACCCAAAGGTGGAAGGTGGGAAGAGTACCTATGAAACTTGCATAAGGCCACGGTGTTTCAAAATATCATTCTAAATTCCTGAACTATGGAAAGAAAGAGGAATAATCCTTTTGTGTAGTGACTAAGGATATAATCATATGGTGAAGAAGTCCTAAAGGTCAATGGGACTTAGTGGTCAGGCCTTGACTCAATAGCAATGTTTGTGGACACGGCTGTGGATGGGGACTTGGTGGGAACTAAAGAAGGGACATTGGGGAATGGTGTTTCCCATGTCTTCAAGTAAGGATGCTAAGGTGTGGTCATGGGATGACCACTCATGGACAAATAACCCAATCTTTGAGAGATGGGATTATGATGCAAATAGTTTTAGACCACTGAAATGATAAAGGTGAATGGGTATAGCTTTAGTGTAATAGAATGATATGTCAGTGATATTTTTGGGTGTCAACCATGGGATTGAATATATAAAGCACATGGACCAAGTGCAAAGGATAAGTAGTATAGATGCCATTCATGGGATTAACATGTCCCAAGTCAAGAATAAAATTTATGGAGGTGGTGAGCAAAACCCCTCCAAGTGGTCAAAGATGTGGTGATGTGACTAAGTGAAGAAAAAATATCTC